AACCTGATAAAGAATTGCATAGCTATCATTGGATGGAAAAAGTGACCTCTGATTGGTAGACTGCATCTAGACTCTAAAAACTGTTTAAGTGTCTGACAGCAGCTATGCCTCTGGTGTTGTTAGAAGAGATGCTGGCTTCCCTGCGGCAGGTAAGCCCGGGTCGTGCTTGCGGCCGGCTGAGTCCAGTCTCTCTCCCTGCCCCTGAGCTGTCCATGGGGGCCCACAAGAAGAGCTCCTGGGCAGCTGTGCCACCCACTCCTTCCAGGGAGAAAAGCAGCATGCTGCCTTGCTGGCAAGTTGGGTTTCCTGCTATATCCTTTGGAGTAAATCTGATCCCCGGTGACCTATTGGGGTCTTGAGAGTAGATATTTAGTTGGACCTAAAGAGCCCCTCTCCCCCCTGGTGGGTGTTTCAAATATGTAGTCAGAATGAAATAAGTAACACTTGAAGACTTCCAATGACGAACTAGCAGTCTCTCTGTTGTACCCCTGCTGCTTCCCCCAGTCCGTCTCCCCAGAGGCAGCAACTTTCATTTACTGCAGATCTTGGATCTGGTCTTTACTGTGTCTCAATAAAATATTTATGTTCCTCTTTCCTGGTTACCAGTTATTGACATCTGTTGACTTGCCATTAGGGAAGATGAGAGTTTTTCCTCTTATGCCACTTGCGCTTTCCATGTTCCCGTCCTCTTAGTATTCTTACATCAGAAGTCTAAGTTAAATCAACAGCCAGTGTCACATCGTGTGGCAGTATAAGGATTGCTCACTGCATAGCCAAGCAGGTACTTTGAATAATTTCTTCTCCTACACATTTTCTTCTGTTGTTCCTGAACCTAATTGCTTTGACTCTTTGGAATTTGTTTTGTTTTCTCTGTATGTGTCCTTAATTTTTTCCCCCACATTCTCTATCAGGTAGGTCGGTCAAAATATTTCCCAAATGTTCCAAAATATCAGCCCAATTTTTAATTTCTTTTTTCTCATGGAGATTGACTTCCTAGACCTCTCCATCCTGCTGCTCTAAACCACTTCTCTGGGCTGTCCCATATTCTGGAACTTTCCTTGAGTTCTAGCCATTGTTTTATTGGATTTCCTGGATTTTGCTGGAGCACATCCAAAAATAGCTTTATGTGAAGGGGTCCATGGGAAGTGAAGACTTTGCATGTCTGGAAATTTTTTTCAACTTTCATGCTTGATTTTTTTGTTTGGTTGAGCATAGAGTTCTATGCTGAAAAATAATTTTCTTCTTGATGTAGAAGGTATGACTTTTTTATCTGGTAGAAATGTTTTTTTTAATGAGTTTTTACTTATTTATTTTAAGATTTTATTTTTTTCCTTTTTCTCCCCAAGGTCCCCTAGTTGTGGGTCCTTCTAGTTGTGGCATGTGGGATGCCACCTCAGCATGGCCTGATGAGTGGTGCCATGTCCGCGCCCAGGATCCGAACCCTGGGCCGCCAAAGTGGAGTGCGTGAACTTAACCACTCGGCCATGGGGCTGACCCCTCTGGTAGAATTTTAATGTTATTGTTAGGAACACATTGTCATAGAGAACTTGTTAATGATATTCCTAGTTTTACTTTAGCAGTAATTATACAAATGCTATCATTTGGCAGTACTTAGATTACACTTCTGTTGTTGGAAGATAATTCTCTGTGGTTCTCTTGCATTTTTGTACATCTTGAGAATGGAGGACTTTTTTCTGGACTATCCTTTCAAGAATGTACATATGAACAACCTTGGAAGACAGGCATAGTGTCTCCCTTGATAGCAAGAAGCAGGCATGCTTACTGTCTGTATATAAGGTTCAGGTTCCCTGAGCTCAGCTTTCTTCTTTGCGTGCAGTGTCCTCTGGCCACCCTTGCATCACCTTATGAGGATGTTAGCTTGAGGAACCAGTGCATAAAAAGATGATGCTCTGGCTAATGCTATTGCTGTAATAAACTGTCCTTTGTCCTTGACCCAGGAGCCTCATTTCTTCTGCCAGTGTCCAGGAAGCTATGGCAGACTAACTTGAGCTTTCGGGTAGGGTAAAATCATAGAGCCTTCACAGTTCCTGACATCACTTTCCTCAACCAATAACCCATTGTGTTTCCTCCTCTTGTCATTTACTTGGTTGAATACAGCCTCTAGTTGTTTATTTTTTGTTTTCTCATTCCAAAGGCATTTTACAATGAAAGTGTTTTCTATACAGCAAAGCACAACAAATAGCAAGTTTGATGCAAGTTTATAAAATGTAGATGATATATTTTGTATTTAATTGAGTAGGTAATATGTTTTACATTAAATCGTATTACAAGGCACAAGATACGAATAGATGAATATATACTCTTAAAAGTTGTGTAATTTAGCCTAAAGCATTTATTGAAGTCTGTTTTATAGGTCATGTATTACTTATTTCTCTTTTCAATAACAGCTAACATTTATTGAACAATTACTGTGTATCAGGCATCATGCTATGCTTGTGACATGGGTTATCTTATTCCTCTCAGTGGTCCTAAGAGGATGTTTTCTTGTTCCTTGTTTTAAAAGAAGTCATGTATAACTTGCCTAAGGATATAAAATTGGGAAATGGTGGAGTTCGTATTCATACCCAGATCTGTTTAACTCTCGAACCCAAGCTCTTAACCATGACACTATGCTATAAAATGGAGAGAAGGGAAAGAGTAAAAAGTATATTGACTCGCCTGGAAAGTTTTTAACACTGTGTAGTTTAAATGAATCCTATAGGCTTTCACTATTGATTTGACATATATAGTAACTAAGCTTCATTTGCTATGGTTATAATGGAATTCAGTGTATAACTCTTGCTAAAAGTAACTGTTCTGTCACAGCTTTAAAAAAGTACAGAACAACAAAATAAAGCAATAGAGGAGCTGATATTCACACATCCAGAAGTTGGGAAATTCTAAGCTGTGGTTCCCACAGCAATTGCAGCTGAGCCTCAGGGCAGTGAATGTTACAATGTAAACTGAACACCATATGCAGCTGCATGAAATAATATTCTACATGCGCTTGGGGGCCTGATAATAGCCACTGTGGGAACAATGAATGTGGAAATTATCAGTTACTGTTTTATCACTGTAGTTTGGGGCATTTCATTTATGTGGCTGTTTCATAGTGCAACTTAGGTGTTTCAACTGGTTATATATCGTGGTGGCATTTCAGTGGTGCTTAAATTATTAATGAATCCTGAAACAAAATGTCCTTGACTTATAAGATTTTTTTAATGTTTTCCATCTGATTTAGAAAGGATCACTTTGCTCTCTTCCCTATTCCCCACTCGCAATGGGAAAGCATAATTTTGGGAGTTCTTGTTTACATTCTTAGGCAGATTCAAGATGCTAGTTAACCTTTGAAATGTAGTATGTGCTGGTGCTTAAAAGAGATAGATGCCTAAGAAGTGCATATTAGAGCCTCTCAAACACAGGAGCATCAGTCTTCTGGTAGCTTGGCTTCATGCAGCACACCACCATTGAGGGCGCACGGAGCCTGCCTACAACTCACAGAAAACCTCAGTGCGATCAGCTTCTTATTTTGGTAGATTCTCAGAGGAAATGTCATTTGGGCATTACCAACTGCTCTGTCTTGCCTTAATATTGCTTCAATAATTTAAAATATTGTTTGACCCTGTGTCTTGAACCTCTAACCTTTGCTTATCATTTTGTTGATTGATGTCTCCATTGACGGCATATAAATTTCTACTATGAGTCTCTCAAATACATGATTAAAAATATAGAATTTTTCTTTAATAGTGGACTCTCATATAGGTGGTTTAATAAGTTTACATATAAAATCACTGTTATCAAATTTATGTAGTAGAAAGGATAAAACTAAGTATACATAAATACATAAGTTTCCAAGAAATAGATTAAATAAATTTTATTTATTTGTATTTGGAAACTTATTACCCCAGAGATTCCTAAGGATGATTTTGTTTACGCTTGTAAAATATTTACAGAGTACCTACTAGGCGACACCGTGGATCCAAGGCGAAGCACACGTGAGCCTCCAGCCACTGTGTTTGGAGATTCTGAGTCTTTTCTGAATATTCTAATTTGGTAAATAAGACCATTGATATCAGACAGGCATGCTGATCATTATTCAAATGATCCTGAAAAGCCAACTTAACTGTTAGTGATCTCCTTGGTGCAAAGATAATGGCCAAGATTATAAAGCAAGGCGTATTCCTGGGTGGCATTTGATTTGTTTTTATGAACCATCACATTTGTTGCACATGCACCTTTTGGAGTACCAGCATACGTCCTCAACTTTTACAACATGGGGGCACATCATTTTACAAAATATTGCTTTGTAAAAAGAAGAATAAAAGGTGGGAGTTGACTGGGTTGATGTTCATGCCTTTCCCTGTGCTTGGTCCTTCATATTGGAAGTCAACAGAAGTGGTTCTCTATGGCTGAGACTAAATGCCTTTACAGCTGCCTCGACATAATCTGTTAACTGGCTTAGGGTAACTGTGTGTGCAATTTCATGGGATGAAGGATTTAAACCTAGGGGTGTATGTACTGCATGCTCATTTTGACAAGGGAACTGACAAACACAACTTTGAAGATCTTGGTAGTCGTTAAGCTTTATAACGGTCTCAACTTTTGGATTAGTAAAAATCTTAAACATGCATCCCCAGAGTCATATACATTTATTTATTAAAATAGCATTGCAGTAATATGTAATTAATTCTTAAAACATACAGCAAAAAGTGAAAAAAAATAAGAAAGTCACCATAAGTAGAAGCTGCAGTGTTTTCTGTCTGTACTGCGTGGTTTCTTGTTCACTTCCTGGGATATGCTAACTCAAAAGACTATTGCTTTAAAATGTAGCTTTTCATATACATATACCCATCTATGGTTAAAGGTCATCCTCCCTACAGGAAAGACCTAGTTAACATGATCGTAATGCCTCTTAGACCCCAGTTTTACCCAGTTTCCTTCACTTTGTAGAAAGAAACCTAACACAGAGTGTCCTCCTGTTTGTGTTGTGCTGTGTCTAGGATGAGGACGGGACAGAAGAAGACAATAGCCGTGTTGAACCCGTCGGACATGCTGACACTGGTTTGGAGAACATACCCAACTTTTCTCTGGAGTAAGTTACTGATGGTTTTAACTAAATTTGTAATATACATGTAGCATCACTGATAACAGCAAGTATTCCAAAAGCATATGGCATGTGGAATGTGTGTGCTTAGTTAAAAATATGCCTTGCGTTGGCTTGTTTTCCAATGAGCATTTTTCATCTGTTGAGTTAATTATCTGACGTAAAAAGTGTAGCATGGGGATTCACGTGTACCTGTCCCAAGTTTCATACCTTGGCAAATACTATTTTATATTATAATTTAATAGTATTTGATTGAAAATGTTTGTCATGTTAACAGCACTGTAACTGTTTTCGCCTTGCTTTGTATGTCAGTATTTTGGTTTGTTCTTCAACCTTGCTAAATTACAAAACAAATTGTAGATATCCTTTACTTGGAAAACCAGTTGGGTCATTAAGCATTAGTTGTTTTAGTATATATTTTTTGGAAGAAATAGAATCTTTCAAGATATTTGATGAAAACTTAGAAGTCGTAGTTTAGGAACCTTGAACAAGATTTTAAGTATGAGAGGACAAAGAAAAACTTTCCTAGATGATCACAACTTTACAATTATCTTAAGTATTGACATGTCTACATGGAAGGTCTTCTCAGAACTTCTTCCATTGATGGGCAGTCATTCTGACCTTTTTCTTCGACTTTGGGTAAAAGTTGGAAGGTCTAGGTATTAACATTCAAACTCTTAACTCTGTCTTCTCTTGGTCTTCCGAGGGAAGGCTCGAAGGACTTTCTCAGTGAGGTTAAATCGGCGCTAGAATCGGATTATGTTTGCAGATACAGTGCCCAGCACTCTCTAAGTATTTACATCTAAGAAATACTTGCCATGTCATAATTCCTTTTAGAAAGACTGTGGAACCAAAGAAATTTATTAAGGTTACCATATTATTCTTAATTGACAATCCAATCATTAAATACATGTTCAAATGATATTAATGGTATCTAAAATAGGATGTTACAAAATTCTATGAAAATATAAAAAAAAATTAAAATCCATTTAAATAGTATTAGTTTAGTAAATATTTTGTCAGTATGGCAAAATTTTTATTTTGTCTTAGTTGCTGTATGTAGTTATGTACCGTAGATTTCTGCACATATTTTCAGTTTTGTTTTTATTTGATATCCTTACCTTTGATTTTCTTTAGCGTTTGTATTGTATAACCAGGACATTCATAGTATCAGGTTTATATTTAAGAAATACAATTGAAGAATTGGCATTTTCCATTATTTAAAAACTACACTGTGATCTTTATCAAATCCATTGGTAATCATTTATAGTTGTCCAGGTTGCTTAAACTAGATATTTAATTGAAATACTATTTCCAAATGTTGATTGTTAGATGAGTGCTGCTTAGATTTCTATGCGATACACACATACACGGAAACATCTACGAAGAAAGTAAACTCTCCTTTAAGTGGTTTAAAAAATTTACATTCTCCAAATTACTAGTTTTCATTAATAAATAAAAATGTAAAATAATTGCTATTATTATATTAATAGTAAAGTACTTTAGTTATGTGATAGAAGTAACTTCATGTTACTTAATAAATAGCTTCATGACTTTGAAGTTCAATTACAATTTTATGAAGATTTTTAGCAGATAACTATTGGTTTTGAGAAAGGAGTTTCATAACCTGCACTTACGGTATTCTCACAGCAGTGTAGGAAATGGTGACGCTGAATTGTTGTGGAGCCGTGGGAAGTAGGGATAGCTGGATCGCATCTGGACTCGCCCCTACAGGGGCAAACTTTGACCTTCTTGGGTTATTGGAAAGGTCAATGATGTGACATATGTGGGAGCACTTGGTAAATTATAAAGTGCTCTGCAGCTGCAACACCTTTATTCAGTCAATCGTCATAGTCCTTGAAACAGATATTGGGATGGAAAATTTTGAGTGGACGTCTGGAGATTTGACTGGCAAAACGTGTACCTGTGTCACACAGAAGAGTGTGGTCCGAAAGGACTGGTTCTGGGTCATTTTTGATGTAGTTATTTCTGATGATTGCTCTCCCTCCATGCCGTCAGACTAGCGTTCAGGTATGTGGTGTTCAGTGTTGCTTCCATCGCCATGCTTCTGTTCCAGAATGTGTATGTATATGCGTGTGTGCTGGTGGGATTTTCGTTTTGTTCCCTTCCTTGTTTCTTGTGTGTCTGTGTTGTTGTGGTTTTTGGTTTTGTTTGGTTTTGGTTTTGGTTTGTTTACAGTCCATGTTCATGCTCCCTCATTCATCATTGTCTCACAGTGATATGGTAAAGCTCGTACAAGTCTCCAACGATGGAGGGCCTCTGGGAATCCATGTAGTGCCTTTCAGTGCTCGAGGCGGCAGGTAATGTATCTTGGAGGTTTTTAATTGACTCGTAATGTGGAGTGTTTTCTGTTCATTTATGCTCAGATATAGAGTGGTGTGGATTTAGCATATGCTCAATAGAAACATTTTGATTTGGGGGCAACTGCTGCTTCATTCATCCGTATCCGTCATAATCACAGACAGCACTTAGGCTGATGAAGAAGTCAAGCATTTAAATTATCCTAATAATTTTATTGTTCATCACATCCATGCAAACATTGTACTTTGCTGTAAATTGGTGATAGACTTTATAGTCTTTATAGTCACAACTCCAGCTGAATTTGCGGGAGAGCTTAAAGCAATTTTCTTGAAAACTTTATCCAATAAAAATTATCTTCATAACTTAGGAAATGATACATTTTAAATTCACTTTTATGTTTTCGTTTAATTTTATAAGATTTTTATCATTATATTTGCAATTTAAAAAAATTAGACAAGCTATAGATTTATTTCCCACCATGTGGCTTGTGCCTCCTTGCCTTCAATCTCTGCACACTCAAACATCAAAATTTTCTACTGTTTGTTAATATGACTTCATTACTTTGTAGAACATATATTCTTAAATACTTTAAATGTTATATGAATTTCTTTTATTCTGCTGCTTTTCTTCTGTGAAAGAAGTATTGTTTGTTTGTTTTGATGTATTCAAATACTATGAATTGATTTTGCAACTAATGGTTGGGGGGGCCTCTGTCATCTACATCACGTGAAACACATCCCACATCCTTCCCCAGAAGCTTTACCTGCACTTGGTTAACCTGTTGAAGTTTAATTGCATTCTCTCATTTACCCATCTAATGATTACCCAGTGAAAAAGATTTATGAACTATTTGGCTCCTTATTTGAACTTCTTCTTTTGTTATTATTATCATGTTACTTTTTTAGTTTAACATCGTTTACTCTGGGGGAAGCTGGAAAGTAGCCTTAGACCGGGGACTGAGAACTTAGAACATGGCGTACCTGTTGCCGAGGAGCTGTAAGCATCTAGCATGCTGTAAAAGACAGATGGAATAGCAGTTATGGCGTATGACTAAATTATCGGTGTCCTTTTTTAAGTGATTATTTGAACAGTTGTACTGCCTTCCTGCTATATGTCCCTAACTGTGGCGAGTCCAGATTTCATCTGCTTGGTGAAGCACATGCTTTATGGGATGTCTTGAAGCTGAGTCTTTGACTTACCCGGAACTCTGCTGGAGTTGGGGGCTCCATTGTTGGTGTGATGTAACAGGATGTGAACGCCCCTGTGAGTGTGGGACGGTCCTTGTTATAGTCACAGAGCTGGCTGCTTTCGCTTTTTTTCTCCTCCTCCTTTTTAAAATTTTTGAACTCTGGGGAAGCATTGAAATTTCTTCAAAGAACTTCCAATTAAACAATCTTAGTTGTTTTCAAAATGGCTCTTGCCTTTATTTCCTTTAAAAAAATATAATTTTAAAGGACCTCAAAAGTTAAACCTTTTTTCCATTTATTTCATGAACAAAAAAAAGATAAGGTAAAATGTGTGGATTATTGCTTCTCAATATTAATGTGCCTTTAACTGCCTGTGGAATATAACTCATCACAAATGAGGTTTAATTGTGTAGGTACCAGCTTTGAGCTAGTATTTCAATTGCAAACAAGTTATTTTCTGTCATTTATTACACATTTTCTACCTCAGTGTGAAAGGATGTTAGGGTAAAATAAGTAGATGAAAAGTCTAAAGCAAAAGGAGAATAAGATAGAAAAATAAGCCTACTAGAGATTAATCAATGAGAGGCCTTTCACACAATCCACCCCAGTTACTGGTTGCCATGGTAATTAGTTTCAATATACAGAACACATTCGAGTAGACTAGTGTCCCTGTGTAGAGCTAGAAGCTGTTTGACAGCTGAGTCATTTTTAATCTCTGTTGATTTGGCAGTTAATGGAGAAATTCTTGTGTAGCTTTCCTGTATAAGGGACAAGCAGATTAATAAAATCAGATTCTTTATAAACCCTTTTTAGGCATCACCAGTTTTCATATTGGGAAACAGAACAGAAATATATATGTTTTTTCCAGCACCTGATTTGCGTCTTTAAGCTTCTTGTTGGACTTGACAGTAATGGTTCTTCAGAGTTAGGTTGACAATGGCAGGGAAAAAGCAGGCAAGCCACCCAGAGTCACAGATGCTGGTGGTCAGGATCCAGAGAGGCCCATCTCCCTTGTTCTCAGAAATGCTTACAAGTGGATTCTCCTCATTCAGTCAGAACCTTCCTGACACTTACCGCGTGGTAATTCCTGTAGTAGGTGCTAGGAAACAAAGATGAACAGGACAGAATCTTTTTCCAGGGATTTGCGATCAAGATGGAGTGATAGCCAAGAAATCTCATAATTATAATTATGTGGTAAATGTTGATATAGTTACATAATAGGTGTTCTGTGAGCTGATAGAGAAGAAATTTCTAAATTAGATAACTGAAGCTGGCTTGTTGCGGAAGATGATTTTAAATGTGATGACAGCTTCTAAAGGGAGCTTCATCAACTCCATGGTGGCTGCAAGGGTAAATTAAGCAGTGCAGTATAGCAGAAAGGCAGAAATTAAGTGGAACTTGTGAAGAAATTGCACATATACCTAGTGGGAATACCAGAATACATATTCATGGGGAGTCAGTTGAAGTTTCCAAGAATAACTTCCCTTGTATATAATTCCAGTCATGCTTGGGCCTTCTCAGTTTTGGAGATATAACTAATTGAATAACACTTAGTGAATACTTATTTTTATAAAAGTGACACATATATGTCAGTATTGCATTCTGATTCAGATTTCAAAATCACAAAGTCTAAGGAACAATGCGGAATGGGAATTATATATTGTAAAGAGAAGAAACACAATGCACAACTTCTCAAATATCAAGTATAATTCAGGAAAATAGGAAAAATGTGAAGTCAATATTAGAGAAATTTTTAAATCCACTTAAATATAACTGTGGCCTGAGGTATAATCCAGTTTTTGGAACAGGAATCTTGTGGCCTATTTAAAATAGCCATGTTTCTAGGGTAGGCTGGCTGTTGTTCCTGGATTGGGGGCATCAGTGACAATAGGCGTGTTGCTGCTCATCCCCCAACGCCTGCCTCAGATACCTAGAAACAAAGACAATTAAATGCGTAGAAATGGTAGCATTATCTTCCCCCGATGCTGTTTTTCTTTAGTCATCATCTTGTATGTTGTTCAAAAACAAAGTTAACTGATCCCCACCCAGAGCTCTTTATTCACAGTTTCATTACCTTGAAATCAATTTTCACTTCACACATATAATTTCATTTCCTCCTGATTTAAATGTCAAACATAATCTCCTTATTTAAATCACAAATGCTGCTACTTTCAGGAAGGTTATGCCAAATAATTGTCATTTCCTTTGGCAGAAAAACCGTGCTTTATGTCTTTGTATTTCTAGGACCTAACCCATAGACATTGCTCAGTAAAGCTTACTCAGTACAGGAATGAATGAACCCATGACTATCCGTATCAGCTATGGCCCTGCTATATTGGAAATAAAACAATCAGGACATATCCTGGCTTGATAGATAGTGAGTTTTCCTGAGGTCTCTAATCGCCTAGGAATATGATTATGATGTAATTCAATGTTAAGTATTTAAAAAGCAAGATATAAAATTGTATACTGAAATAGGGGCTGGGCTTATGAGATTATAAGGTTTTATATTTGGTTTTAAGGGGTTTAAAGTCTAATTGAGAAACACGTAGATGAAAAGATCCATGCTGTGTGTCCAAAGAACTCCATGCTCGTGCGCCGTGGGGATTGGGAGGGAGCAGCACTGTGGACTGGGACATGGGGCCAACCCTTGGTGGAGCGATGGGACTTGGTCTGCCCTTTGGAGGAGCTAGAGGACTATGCTGGTGATGCTCGGGAAAGATATTTTTTCTAGGAAGAGACTGTATGAAAGGAAGATGCTGCATGTAAGTGTGCATGATTTGGTGAGAAACACTGTGTCACTGATTTGAAACAGAAGGTGTTGGAAGAGAGCACTGAGCGATTGTGAGAGGGTGCCTGGTGAAGGGCCCGCGAGACTCCATAATAACATGGAGACATTGCTGAAGGGTTTCAAGAAATGTGAGTGGATGAATATTAGTCTTCTACCTGGACTCCACAGTCTGACTTGTAGTAGATGTTCTAAATCTTTTCCCCCATGGAAACAAATATGGCTAAAACATATTATTCTTCATAAAGTACAGTCTGCTTTTCCACATCTTTTCTATGTGGACCTTTCCCATTTATATATGTTCTTCTTTCTTTTAAACCTGTGGCCCTTGGAATTTTCTATCTCAGTATTTATTCTGATTCAAACAGTGATTGTATGTTTATTTTAGTAAGCAAGTTTTCTAAAGATCTAGTATCTCCTAGGAACTCTTCTTTTTTTTTCCCTCCCCAAAGCCCCAGCACATAGTTATACATCCTAGTTGTAAGTCATTCTAGTTCTTCTCTGTGGGATGCTGCCCCAGCATGGCCTGATGAGTGGCGTGTAGATCCGCGCCCAGTGTCCAAACTGGCGAACCCCGGGTGAAGTTGAGTGTGCGAACTTAACTGCTCAGGCCTGGGGCTGGCCCCCTCCTGGGTGCTCTTCCTGGTTCTAGGCATACGCTTATCAAGGGTTGGCAGACTCTATGTAAAGGACCAAATATTCAGTATTTTTGGCATTGTGGGCCACCAAGTTTCTAGTGCAAGTGTTCAATTCTGTCATTGTAGCATGAAAGCAACCATTGAGGATATATAACCAAATGAGCATTACTGCCCCAATAAAGCTTTATTTACATAACAGGTGGCTCCTGGGCCCTGATTGCCAGTCCTGCTCTAGAGAACCAAACAAATAAGAATGCCTCCCATCATGGAGTTTGCATTCTAATATTTTTCATATCTAAAATTTCTTCTCCTGTTTCCTGTTCACATTATCAGGGGGGCAAGAGTCCCAAACTTCATTTCCACTTCCTGTTTGATAAGAAAGCGTC